AGATGATTTTAACCCAGTTTGGGGTCAAAATCAAAGTCTTCAGATCTGATAATGCAACAGAATACTTTGCTAAGCCATTGGCCTCTTATCTACTTGATCATGGGGTTATTCACAAGAGCACTTGTCCTCATACACCACAGCAGAATGGGGTTGCTGAGAGGAAGAATAGGCACATTTTGGAGGTGGCTAGAAGCATTATGTTTACCTCCAATGTGCCTATCCGTTTCTGGGGTGATGCTATCCTCGCAGCAATGTATCTCATTAATCGGGTTCCTTCACGGGTTCTTGATATGAAGCCTCCGTTTACCCTTCTATACCCAGACGAGGAGTTGTTTACTGTTCCTCTTAAAACCTTTGGGTGCACCTGTTTTGTTCAGCTTCTTGGACCTCATCATTCAAAATTTGACCCTAAGGTCTCCAAATGCATTTTTCTCGGTTATGCACAAACTCAAAAGTGTTATTGCTGCTATGATCCTGTTTCAGGGAGGCGATTTGTCTCGATGGATGTCACCTTCTTTGAGGAGGCACCCTATTATCCTAGGGTTCCTCCTCAGGGGGAGAGTTAGTGAGAATGAGAATTTGGGTCTTTTTCCTCAGGGGGAGTGCAGTGAGAGTGGGGTTAACTCATCTAAGGTTGTTCCTTTACCCATTCCATTGAGTGATGAAGGCTGTACTGGTGAGGGTTGCCAGAGGGATCAGGAGTTAAAAGTCTATCACAGGCGATGCAGGCAGGTTGATCTCGGTCATCAGCAATCCAGGCCAGCCCTAGCTCCTTCTGCGGATCCAGATTCAGGTACTACAGTCCCAGGGCCCACTGAGATACCTTCCACTGTTGCTACTTCCCCTCCTTTTTCGGGTGACCTTGACCTCCCTATTGCGGTCCGTAAAGGGAAACGACGCTGCACCACATCCACAGCTCACTGCATTTCCCAGTTTCTATCCTATGATCGCCTGTCTCCCTCTTACAGGTCCTATCTCACTTCCATTGCTAATATCCCTATCCCTAGAACAGTGCAAGAAGCCTTATCAGTTCCAGAGTGGAAAGATGCAATGAAAGTTGAAATGGATGCCCTTTTGAAAAATAATACTTGGGAGCTAGTTGACCTACYCAAAGGAAAGAAACCAGTTGGATGTAGATGGGTATTYACTRTGAAACATAATGCTGATGGCTCCATTGAAAGGTACAAAGCTTGGTTGGTTGCAAAAGGGTTCACTCAGACTTATGGTATAGACTACTTGGTGACCTTTGCCCCAGTAGCCAAGATGACCACTATTCGAATTCTATTAGCCCATGCAGCAAGTTATTCTTGGCCCTTGTTCCAAATGGACGTTAAAAATGCTTTTTTGAATGGAGACTTACAGGAAGAGGTCTACATGCAGTTGCCCCCTGGATTCTATGATACAGAGACAGGTAAGAAGGTTTGCCAACTGAATAAGGCATTGTATGGGTTAAAGCAGTCCCCTAGAGCTTGGTTTGATAGATTCAGACTAGCCCTTGGAAAATTCGGTTATGTACAGGCCCAGTCAGATCATACACTGTTCATTAAAAGGATGGACTCTTCTTTGACCCTGCTTGCTGTATATGTGGATGATATTGTAGTGACAGGGAATAATAGTAGCGAGATTGAGTCCCTCAAGCAGCTTCTTCATCAAGAGTTTGAGGTGAAAGATCTTGGTGCACTGCGATATTTTTTGGGTATTGAGGTTGCTAGATCTAAACAGGGGATCTTTATCTCCTAGAGGAAATATGTTCTAAATCTGTTGACGGAAACTGGAAAGTTAGGTGTCAAGCCTGCTGATACACCCATTGAACAGAATCACAAGATCAGTGCAGAGGGTGGGGAGCTTCTTGAAGACAAAGTTATGTTCCAACGGTTGGTTGGAAAGCTCCTATATCTCTGCCTCACTCGGCCAGATATCAGTTATGCAGTCAGTGTTGTCAGCCAGTACATGCATTCCCCTAGAACTACTCATCTTCTTGCAGCAGAGAGAATATTAGCATACTTGAAGAGATGCCCAGGTAGAGGTATACTGTTCAAGAACAATAATCACATGAGGGTGGAGGTCTATACAGATGCTGATTGGGTCGGGAATGCTGATGACAGGAGGTCTACCTCTGGATATTGTGCCCTTGTGGGAGGTAATCTTGTCTCTTGGAGGAGTAAGAAACAAAGTGTTATTTCCCGCTCTAGTGCCGAAGCTGAATACAGGTCAATGGCTAATGGAGTTGCTGAAATCCTATGGCTGAAATCACTACTTGAAGAGTTGGGTATTGATTATGAGAAGCCCTTGATGCTGTATTGTGATAATCAGGCGGCTATTAATATAGCTCACAATCCGGTGCAGCATGACAGAACTAAGCATATCGAAGTTGATCGATATTTTGTCAGAGAGAGGGTCTCATCACAGGAAGTGTGTCTCCCGTATATCACCTCCAACATGCAGCTCGCAGATCTTCTCACCAAGGCTGTACTAAGGAAAAAGTTAGAGGCCGACCTATTCAAGTTGGGAATGACAAATATCTATTCCCAACTTGAGGGGGAGTGTAGAGAACACTGATGTGGGCCCGACGGCTGTGGTCCCCACGGCTGTGGGCCCCACTGTGTTCGTATGACAGCATGTGTAACCTTTGTTCGTCATGTCAGTGTTAGTTGGTAGTTATCTTAGACAGCTTGTTATTTCAGTCTTTTATTTTTTTTATTTGCCATGTAAGTATTAAGGGCAGTTTTGTCCTTTCCTACATGTAGTGAACATAACCTATAAATATTAAGAGAGTGGCGGCGCAAGACTCATTCAATCTGTCCCTCCTTTCAAAACCCATGTGCACTTCTGCTTTTTCTCCTTTCTTCTTCCTCTTCCTTCTATTTTCTCAATCCGAAATCAGTTGGGATTCAAGACTGATTGTAGTCTTGATCGACTACTCTTAACAAATAGCCCAATAAAATTTTATAAAAGAACATAAACTAAACAGTACCTTAACTAAACTTGAATATAAAAGTATAAGGTTCTCAACAGGGTTGAAGTGGAGAAACTACTTATCGCTTGCCAATCTCTTGTCCTTTTGTTGCTGGAATTTGGGAATTGTTTTTTGGCCTTTTTGGATGCAGGTGGAACCCCCTTTTTAATTTACATGACATTTTCAACTCCTCATTTTTTTAGTCTGTCACAGAAAAAGGGAAATCATGTGGAGATGTACAATTGAAACTATACTTTAGACCATTTGGGATGAGAGGAATGACAGAATTTTTAACGGCCAAGAGTGGTTGAGAAATGCAATCATAGAATCTATCATAATCAGACTATCAGAGTGAGTCATTGTGTTAAAACAGTGAGATTATTGGGTGGTTGAACCCTCTTCAGCCAGAGTTGCGGTTGCTTCTAGGTGGGGGCCAGTATATTTGAGCATGGTTAACTTGAAATTTGATGTCTGCAGTTGAGGCAATCCCGGCCCAGATGGAATTGGAAGAAGCTTTAGGGATTGCAATGGAAATATCATGGCACTGTTCTCAGACATGATTGGTCAAGCAAACTCCACAAAGTTGAACTAGATTTGGTCTTAGAAGGCTTGAAGATGGCAAGGTCTTAGAATTATAGAAACCTGAAAGTGGAAGGAGATACAGTGGTGGCCATCTGGCTCAGAAATGATGGTCTGGACCCTGATTCCATGGCAGTACAGAAATACCATGAAAGAGGTAAGACTGATGGCAGGTAGGGGTGTACAATCGATCGGTTTGGTTCAAACCGAGGATCTAACCGACTATTCGATTTTACCATTTCCTCTAACCGAACCGAACTGATGCTAACCAAATCCGGTTTGGTTGGACCCTGGTTCCACATAAATGACAAGCATTTAATAAGTGCTATTAATGAAAAGTTAAAATGGCCTCAAAACCCAATGGTTTTAATTAATTAATTATTAACTATTATTAATTAAAAGTTAGAATGATCCCAAAGCCCAATGGTTTTAATTAATTAGCTATTATTAATTAAAAGCTAAAATAGGCCCAAAGCCCTATGCCAATGGGGAATTGGCGAATTGACCATTTTCAAAAGTAATTAATGATTAATGAACAATTAATGACTAATAAACAATTAATAATGAGTCTAGGTTTTAATTAACTATTATTAATTGTTCATTGGTAAATATAATAATTAATTAGCATAAAGTATTAAATAAAACATAAATGTTTAATATACTTAACTAAATAACAGCATTAATTTGGTTTTCGATTCGGTTGAAAATTTCAGTCAAACCGAACTGAAACCAAAAACCGATTAAAAAAAAACGAACTGAACCGATAGCTGAATTAGCTTATTTGGTTTGGTTTGGTTTTCGGTTTATCAACCGAATTCGAACACCCCTAATGGCAGGGGATCTAGTTAGCTTCAGCTGGATCCACAGATCAGACAATGAGTTGGCTGATGCAATAGCAAAATGAGGAGTTAGTAGAGGATAGTTGTTTTGTTATCAGGTGAGAGAAATTTGGCCTAATCTGGGGGATGCATGGCATCTTTGTATGTATTCTTCATTCTTTACTCTAAAAGTATCTGTTAACAATTGGAAGAAAAAAACTGGGATGGAGTGGTAAGGAAAGATCTTGTTTCTTTCTATTTGCCCAAGAGAAAGAAAAACAAAAGGTCTTCTCTATAATGTTTTGTTTATTCTCCCATAAAAAAGTTGTGGCTAACAAAAAAAATGTCTATTATACTTCTAATACTTAACCTATGGTTCTTTTTAAATTTGCAGTTCACTTTCTCAACTGCTATTGATGGGAAAATTAAGGCCTGGTTGTATGACAATGTGGGCTCTAGAGTTGACTATGATGCTCCTGGACATTCTTGCACTACAATGCTTTACAGTGCTGATGGAAATAGGTAGGTGAAATCCAACTTTATGTTGTTGTTATATGTTGGCATATTTTATGTGTAAAGAAAAAAGTCAAAAACCGTATTGAATTAAGTGAGTCAGGAACTCTGTTTTGATAATATTCTGACATACAGACACATAAATGATGCATGACTTAAGATCCTTCCATCTCTCAGATTATTCTCTTGTGGGACAAGTAAGGATGGGGACTCTTTTCTGGTTGAATGGAATGAAAGTGAGGGAGCAATAAAAAGGACATATTCTGGGTTTAGAAAGAAGTCAGCTGGGGTTGTTCAGTTTGACACTACACGGAATCACTTCTTGGCAGCTGGTGAAGATAGCCAGATAAAATTTTGGCATATGGACAATGTGAACATTCTCACAACCACAGATGCTGAGGGTGGACTCCCAGTGAGTATTATATTTAAGTTTTTAATGTCTTTGTGTTAAATCAGATCATTGAGTCACTGCTTTGACTATTTCAGAATCTTCCTCGCCTGAAATTCAACAAGGACGGAAATCTTCTTGCTGTTACCACTGTGGATAATGGTTTCAAGATCCTTGCAAATTCTGATGGTCTCAGATCACTAAGAGCAATTGAAAGCCGATCCTTTGAAGCATTAAAAGCACCCATTGAACCTACTGCAATTAAGGTAGAGATTCTTGTGGTCATTGTCATCATTATCATTTATCATCATCACCATCACCATTCACCAGCACTGCTAACCATATCATCACCATTGCCTAGGGCTGCAAATTGGGCTGGGTTAGCCTGAACCTAACATAAAAAGTCTGTTTTGGGTTGGGTTGAAGTTAAGGTTAGGGTTGAAAAATATGAATCTGGCTTAACTGTTGGTTGAGTTAGGGTTGATCTCGTGGCCAACATGAAACTTGACATGTCTTTATATTTGTATGTATAAATATCATATAATGATATAAATGTGTATGTATGTACACATGCATGTGTGTGTATGTTTTATGTATTTATGTAACTGAGCATCCATTAATGTATATATCTATATATACATATCAACCCGACCATGTCTTTATTTTATATGTATAATATCATATAATGATATAGATATTTATATATGCATGCTTGTGTGTGTGTATACATCAGTGATTTAAAAGGCGCACCTAGGCGCATTCATATGCGCCTCACCTAGGTCCCAGGTGCAGCACTTTCAAAAAGGTGTGCGCCTGGTGCGCCTTGTGCTTCACCCCAGGCTAAGGTGAGTTAACCTTAATCTGCTAATTTTGAATCTAAGGATTCATGATGATGAGCCCAACCTGGTCCTAACCCATCATGAATTCACGATAACTGTCACTTTCACCATCTTCATCATTGTTTATATGTTATAACCTTATAGGATTTTACTTAGATTCTTACATGATTTTATTTTGCTCTTTCCAATCAGGCTACTACTGCTGCTACAGCTGCAAACATCAGTCCAAGCATTAGCAAAGTAGAACGCTTGGAGACAAGCTCTCCGAAAAGACCTTCTGCAGTTCTTGTATGTCAGATAGATGGAATGTAAATCTGCAGAGCTATATTATTTTGAGTACTGCTTAACCTGACATACTGGCATATCAGAAGCAGGAAGGGTGCCATGCTCTGATTCCTGAATGTTGGGTCCAGGCATTTCCATCATGAGCACGTCGGGGAATTAGTAGGATTAGTTTTTATTAGAATATCTCCTTGCTTCTTAGGCTAAGCTTTTCTTTAGCAGCTCCTACATCTATGGCTAGGCTAAGTTGTTAATTCATCTAGTCAATATATTTTTTTTTTTATGTGGATGTATCTAATTTTGTTCTTTATTTATTTATTTGTAGAATGGAGTCGATTCTATGGCTAGAAGCATTGAAAAGAGACCTTTGGAAGATTTATCTGACAAAACCAAACCATGGGAACTAACCGAGATCTTGGAACCTGCTCAGTGTCGAGCAGTAAGCCTGGGTGACAGTGCAGATCCTTCCAGCAAGGTGTCTCACTGTTTAGTTTTTCTCAATTTTGTCCTATATAAAACATTTCAGCATTTTTTTTTAATAATTGAATGATCCAGGTTGTTCGTCTTCTTTACACAAACTCTGGTGTTGGCATTTTGGCTCTTGGGTCAAATGGGATCCAAAGGCTGTGGAAATGGAGCCGCAATGAACAAAATCCCAGTGGCAAGGTAATGATTGACATAGAATTTAGTTTATTTACTCTTTGTGATTCATGTCGAATATTTACATAAAACTTTTCATTTGAAGAAGAAACATCTGATTCAAGTGAGGGTTAAAGGCCACTGCCAGTGTTGCTCCACAGCATTGGCAACCAAACAGTGGTCTTCTCATGACTAATGATGTCTCAGATGTGACTCTTGAAGAAGCGGTACCATGCATCGCACTTTCAAAGAATGATTCATATGTAATGTCTGCCTGTGGTGGAAAGGTTTCACTATTCAACATGATGACCTTTAAGGTAACTTGAATTATGCATAAGTTAGGTAATTATGTTTGTGTATTCCCTTCAAACTTTTCAGTGTTGACTGTATTGTTGGGAACTAAAATGCATCTATACACAGGTAATGACAACATTCATGCCACCTCCACCTGCTTCAACCTTCCTAGCCTTTCATCCACAAGACAATAACATAATAGCAATTGGAATGGAGGATTCATCCATCCACATTTACAATGTTAGGGTGGATGAGGTAAATACTTCTATGTGAAGTCTCATCCTGGGATCTTTAGTTCCAGCAGTGGGAGTAACATGTACTACTATTTTTCAGGTGAAAACAAAATTGAAGGGTCATCAGAAACGCATAACTGGTTTAGCCTTTTCCACCTACCTTAACATTCTAGTTTCTTCTGGGTCTGATGCTCAGGTAAGTATTGCTCATGGCTCCCTTGCATATTTTTTTGTCCTGTTGTATATAGTATCTAATCATCTAATTCATGATGGTCTTATTTGAACCTTTTAGCCTATTGCTTTGAACTTCCCTTTCTATTTCTATTCCTTATGGATGGGAAATTGACCTAGCTTCATGTCTATATGGAAATGTGATGTATGACCAAGCTTATATGCTTTTATAAGTTCAGTATTTCTCAACTGCTTGAGATTTCATTATTCTGATATAGAATTAGTTAAATGTACTTGATCTGTTAGAGGGCCTCTTTCAACCATATGCTACTCAATCTTGAATTGGAATATGTAGTGGGAAACATTCAGTACACTGTAATGCTAACAGATGATTTATTGAGCCTAGGTATTCTTGATGGAAAATACTGAGGACATGGGTTGAAGTAGTGAGAAATGATTTGAGGGACCATAATTTAACAATGAATATGGCACTGAACAAAGTGGAATGGTGGAACAGGACCCATGTAAGCTGATTCCATGTAGTTGGGGCCATGTTTAGTTGAGTTGAGGTAGTTTCAATGGAAAATAACACCAGAAAAGTAATCCTGTGCATGTGTATATTGTGTTTATACTAAGTATACATTTTAAAAGAATTAGATTATTGGCTTAAAAGCAATTTCTTTTTTCAACGTTGAGAATACCCTAAGAATTACAATAACAGACAATCTTACACCATTTCACACTCAAATATTGAAATTATTTTGATGAATGCTTAGACATGGTAATTGCATATATTTCAATGAAATAAAGGTAATTTTTTATGGTATTTTTTTTATAAGGAACATTAAACTGAGATATGATGAGTGATCTGTTACAAGTTGAAGGGGAAATGAGATCTAGGGGCAGACCAAAAAGGAACTTAGACAGAAGATGTGATTTAAGCACCCATAATTTAACCATGGATATGGCACTGAACAGAACAGAATGGCAAAACAGGATTCATGTAGCTGACCTCATATAGTTGGGACAAGGATTAGATGATGATGATAATGATGACATTGAAATTGTTTTGATGAATGTCTAGAGATGGTAATGCACATATCATAAGATATTTTGATGGAATAAAGATAATTTATGATGGTATTTTTTTGATAAGAAACACTAAACTGTGATTTTATTGATGCAAAAATGCTGTTGAAGTATAACAGCAAAGAAACAGTTATGAAGTACAGAAATTAGCAGTGCTCGCCCACCCCAAAATTCACAAGAAGTGATTTACAAGTTGATCCCCAACAGAGTTGATCTCTTGAGACTCAATTTCTTTCAAGTGAGTCTGCCAGGCTATTAGCAGCTCTGGGTACCTGAATGAGCGCTTCAGGGTAGCAACCAAAGCTCCAGTCTCTTTTAACTAACACTCTGAAGGTTCAAGGGACTTTATCATGAAGCCTCGTCCATTTTATGATCACTTTATAGTCACCTTCAACCTGTACATCTGTCAGGATGTATGAAGCAACGAGCTTTTTGTTAGCATCAATTCATTGGAAGGTTAATGCATTAAAAAACTAGACAATGGACATACTTGTTCTTCCTCCCTTCTTTATCCCGCCTTAGTTGTGCTAATGCTTGGCAGCCAAGTGGTGTGTGGTATCTATACATTTATGGGATAAATAATTATGTGTTTATGTGTAGGAAAAATTACTTGATTTTGGTGAAGAGTAATATTATTTCTTTCAGATTATAGCATTAAGTGTAAAATAGTTATATTATTTAATATACTGACCTATTATTATAAGGATGATAACGACTTGCATTGTATTATGTTACATGAGTGCACAAGTTCTGCTTAAGTAATAACTTTGTGGAGTCAAAAACAGATAGTAGAGATACTGAAATGGTATCATGCTTAATACATGTTGCTGAAGAGGGTAGGATTATATCTGATGTAGAATCTCAAGATATCTCTTCTCTTCTGTCCTCCCTCTCTTCTATTTTCCCTACCTCCCTGGCTCGGGATAAGATAATTTGGTGGCCTTCTGCGGATGGTCAGTTTTCCATCAAATCCCTTTTCTGTAAGTTGGTGGCAGGGTCAACTAACTCTCCTCCCCATAAAAAGATATGGCTTTCAGCAATCCCTCCTAGAGTCTGTTTTTTGTGTGGGAGGCTTCTTGTGTCAGCTTCAACACTTTTGACATGATCTTGAGGAAGAGGAAGGGGCATCTTTATGTTGCTCCTCATGCTCGTGTTATGTATTTGAAGGGTAGTCATGTGGCCATCTTCTTATAAATTGTGAAACTTGTGCATTGGAACCCATGGTTATGGACCYGAATCCATTAGTATGGAACATTTTCTTTCCAAGTGAAATCCCCTAGTAAATGAAGGAGTGAAAAAGTGCTTTCGTTATTGTGGAATAAGATCAGCCAAATCCTTTGGCAATTTTTCCTGGATACCTTCTACAGCTGCAGCTTCTACTGGGTTCCTCCCAACACTGTGTCTGATTTCGTTATTCAATGGCCAGGTTGTAACTTGAGTAAAAGAGGTTTTCTGTATGGAAGGCTGTCATCCATGCGGTGTGGTGGTGCATTTGGGAGGAATGCAACAGAAGAATCATTGAAGACAAGTGTTCCTCTTTGGAAAAAGTGAGGGTGGTTTTCTGTGTCAACTCCTTGGTGAAGGTTACAAAACTTTTTAGAGGCATCTCTATGGGAGATTTAGAAAGAAACCTGGGGCAGGTTTTAAGTTTTTCGTGCCTGGCTACTGTTCAGTGGGCAGGCTAACTCACAGGACCCTTTTCTGAGTAGTCTCCAGTTTGATGGCAGCTGTCTGAGCAGGCTAACTCACAGGGGTCAGGCAGGAATAGGAGGCAGAATTCTAACCTCCTCTGGAAATCTGGTTTGGGTCTTCAGTGGGCCCATTGAGGAGGCTGAAGCAATTGAACCTGAGGTGCAGGCTTTGCTGGCGGGTCTGAGGATTGTGATGTCTCTGAATATCTCTTCTGTGGTGGTAGAAGGAGACTCAAAGGTGGTTATCAGTTGGATGCTAATCCAGCAGGAGGGGCCTTGGAGATACTCTCATCAGTTCAACAAAATCAGGGAAATTCTGTCTTGGGTGCTCTGTACCTTCAGGTGGATCCCTAGAGAGTTGAATACTGTGGCAGATGCTCTAGCTAAATCTGGGGTGTGCAGGGAATTTTTGTATAGTGACATGATTCCTTTGTAAATGATTGGGAGGATTCTTTTGGTTTTTTTAGCGGTTCTGGTGAGGTGTATCTCTTATACATCTTGTATATCCTTCCCTCTTTTTGTGTCATTTTTGTTAAATGAAAGTTGCCTTTTGTTAGTGAAGTCTCAATGTAATTCTGCAGTTCATGATCCACTTAGCCACATTATGGACCTTACATGGACTCTTTTCCTAATTCCAAGACTCTAAAAGACTCTTAACATCATACCTTAAAAAAGTAAAAAAAAAGGCATCATACCTTTAGATGAAAAGACTTCAAAACCAGCTAAACTCTTGATGTGAAAAACAAGGTTTGGGTGGAATATTGTAGGGTAGAACGGGAGAGCATGCTGTAAGAGGGGGTGTGATGGGGCAATTTTTGAGTGTTCTAGACATGAGGTTGCTCCAAAAGGACCTGGAAAATTGGAGGCTCTCCACCAGAAAAAAGAAAACCAACAAATTGAAAGAAGGGGGGNGGGGGGTGGAAGAACATACTGGTAGGAGAAGGATTTGCAATATGAAGGTTATGACTTATGAGAGGACAAGATGAATGTTAACAAAAAAAATCTTGGATCTGTTAACGAGAAAAAAATTGGATTACATTTTCTTTATTACAAGTTTATGCTGCTTAACAGTTTGTTAAGTGGGACTAAAGAAGAAGATGATGCTGATGCATGTGTATATATTTAGTCCTTGTTGTCTTTACATGTGTTCAATATGTTGTATTCACATATTTATTCTCATTGTCTGTGTGCCTTTTCATGAACTATGCAGTTCATCTTATTAATGAGAAAGGAAAAGGAAAGGAAGAATGAAAAAAGAAAATTACCCTAAACCCTCAACCATTCAAATTGGATCTTAAGCATCATGTGCTGGTCCCTGAGAATGGAAATTCTGTGTTAGCATTTTCCATTTTTCTTTGAAGTTTAATCTTTTTATTTATGTTTTTTTTTTGAAATTTAATCCTTGACCAGATCATGCTGAGATATTTTTACTTATTTAAGTTCCATTTTGTGTTTGTTTGCTATTCTTCAGCATCCCTGGTTTTACATCAATTCATGTTGATTTGGTTTTTTCTTAAAACAATTAAAAATGACACAAAATGATGTATCCTTACATTTGCATGCACAATAAATTTGCTTCTGTTAGTATCAACATAAAGTTGTTCTCTACAGATTTGCTTATGGAACACTGATACATGGGAGAAGCGAAAATCAGTTGCTATCCAACTGCCTGCTGGGAAGGGACCTGGTGGTGACACAAGAGTACAGTTTCATTCTGATCAAATACGGTTGTTGGTATTCCATGAAACACAGCTAGCAACATATGATGCCTCAAAGATGGACCACGTACGGCAGGTTCAAATATATTCCCCAGAATCTGGTAAAAAAATAATTCGTCTTCATATATATGACTATAAAGTATCAACATCTCTCTTCTGTATTCTACCATTGCAGTGGGTGCCTCAAGGTGCATTGTCTGCATCTATATCCTGTGCAGCATATTCCTGCAATAGCCAACTGGTTTATGCTTCTTTTTCTGATGGTAATATTGGTGTGTTTGATGCCGATAACCTCAGACTTAGATGCCAGATAGCTCCATCAGCATATCTGCCCCAGGCAGTGTCAAATAGGTACTTCATCACTCTTATGCCTCATTAGTGCACAGGTTTTATAACCTTTTCATACTTAATCTAGTTCCCGATGGTTCATTTTCCCCCACCATTATTGCACAGGGACCATCTTTCTTCAAGTATAATCATGGTTGACAGAATAATTTTTTTTTACTTTCTCCTTAGTATCGATGTTATCAATCTCTTTGTTGATATTTACCATAGTTATTCCAAAGTCAATTTTGATTGGTTTGTTTTTTTAGAGTTTTTTTTCTTGTTATCAGTAATTTGATTTGTTTGTTTAATATCATCAAAAATGTCTTGTTTACTTTATCATCCTTCTTTCACTGGTCAGGCTGGAGTGTCTTTCTCCCAACTAGCATACTTTGTATCTCTTGCTATTCATGTTCTATTTGTTCTCTCTTACATTGTCTTTTTTTTTTTTTTTTGTTGTCTTTCAGTTGAGTAAATATACTCCTTTTGGAATGAAATGTCAAAGCCGTAAAAGCACTAATAGTTTAGAAGTTGATGATAGCTCTCAATCTGTTCTCTACCCTTGAGACCTATCATGGTTGACCTTGCAATTTTTTCTTTGTTGAACTACATCGCCTCACATATTTTATTTCTGTGGAATTATATCTTCACCTTTAGGACCATTTTTTCGGTGAAACTTCACCTTCAATACCTGTAAATTCTTTTTTTGTAGCAATCATGCTGTGTATCCACTTGTTGTTGCGGCACACCCACAGGAGCCAAATCAATTGGCCATTGGGTTGACAGATGGTTCTGTTAAGGTGATAGAACCCTCAGAGTCTGAGGGGAAGTGGGGAGTGGCAGCACCTGTTGATGATGGGATACCCAATGGCAGGACAGCAGCAGGATCAACCACCAGCAATCAGGCACCTTAGCAGCTCCAAAGATTAATGCTCATGTATGTTACCCAAATTCCTTTTTAGGCATTGTACAGTAGTTTCTCCCTGTACTTAAATATGTACCTCAAAGATAATCATAGAAATCATTAAAGCAAGATAAATCCTCCATATTATATCTATTTTTTTCCTTGCATACTGTATGTTTTTTCTGCTCTATCAAACATCTTTTCAAAACAACTTTTATTTAATCATCAAGTTTTGTTATCACTTATGATTTCATATGTAAATATGTTTGGTCTTGATAATCAGTGGAAAAGGGTGAAGCTACTATATGTACCCCAAAAATCTTGAATCTGGAAACTATGTAAAACAGCAGAAAATAATGAATCAAAATCTTCTTCTGGTTGGGTTAATTGTATTGCTGAATGATTGATATTTTTATTCAGTCTGAATGAGGATTTTGTAACTTTATTTTAAACTATATACTGTTGCTATAGAAAATTTGAGCCACTTCTCAAAAAGTCAACCTGTTAATAAAATAAGCAATAAACCAGGGTTAAGCTTGATTCCAATTGGTTGTTGAAATTTTGAGCCACAGAGTTACATATTGAGTGCAATGACAAAAAACCTTGGGCTGACAAGTTGAGAACATGTGTTGACAGAGATTGGCCACTTGGTATGAAAAAAAATGCCAGAGGTGTGCATCTCTCCTAAGACCTCAGATAACAGGGACAACATTAGGTAATAGTCCTTTTATATGTTAGGTGAAACCAATTATTGTGTCGCACAAACAAAATTAAGTCCTTGATGGGTTAAGACTTGAAATTTTAGTTTAATTTCCTATTTCATTATACTGAAAAACTTAACATTGACTAATAGTCAGTGAAAAGAGAAAGGAAAGGGAATCTTTTGATGTTCTTCACATTCGCATACAAATGGATGTGTAATGTCATAATGCGTATGCATTAATCTTACTTTACATTTTCTCTCATTATTTGAGAAATCATGGTCTTGGATTAATTTATCTTTTTGGAGAACTAGAGACCATGTTCAAAGTATCAATGTGTATTGTACCTGTACCATATCGTATGATATGTATTGTTTTTCAGGGTCACCAAAACTCTATATAGTAGGATATAAAGGTTTTCTTAGAACCCCTCCCAACATATTTATCTTTGAAATACTTAGTTTTTTGGTGTAAAGAAGATTCATTACGGAAGCAAACAAACTCCCGAAGGGAATACACCCAGCATACAGAAAACACAGAAACAAACAGCAGAAAGAAAAACACCTACTCACTACTAAAACAAAATAACAGAAACCAAGCTAGGGAGCATCTCCCAACTCAACAGAAGAATGATCAGCATCGTGCACAGCAGCAAGCTACTCTGGATCAGCGTTTATCTTTGAAATACTGGACTGAAAAAATAAATTATCACTGTTTGAAAACTCATGAAACCCAATTTTTGCGTTGTGTATCAATGCTTTGAACCATCCTAGAGACATGGTTTTTATTTTTTAAGCTAATTGAAACACATTATATTTACATATTCAACTGAGTGGAGGAGCTTTACATGATGGAATAGTTAAAAACAGTAGGCATGTGTATAACCATTTTTTATTAATTTTTAAGTAGTTAACAAATTCTTCTGGGTCATTTAACATGAATTAAATACCAATTGAATTTAAGAACTAATATACAAGTCAATTAGTCAATTAGTCAATTAGTCAAACCGGAAATGTAGTCATGTAGATAACCAATTTGGGTTTTGATATACTCAGTTTTTGGACAATGATTATGAGAAATAGATAGCTAAGGCTATAAATGATGTTGAGGAAGTCTTAAAGATGATTATTTAGGAAAAAAAAGAACTAGGAAGAAGACATTTGTTCAGAGAAGCTGATGTTTCTAAATTTACTTGTAATTGAATAACGCTCTCTTGGACAGTTGGATGTCTACCTGGAGCAACCCAGTAATCATTTTAAAGCATTTAATTTTGAATCCTTTTTGTAGATTTATAATGCTACCAAAAAATAAAAAAATCATTGGATATCTCTAACAATCTCATCTTGACCTTCCCTGCAAAATGAGGCACAACCAGTCCTTTGCCCTTGCAGTTAAAGGGCAGTCCAGTTCATGAGACTCGCCAATGCGTGTCCGGAGAGAGGATAGATGTGCAGCCTTGCCCCTGCAAATACACAGAGATGCAAATATATGGATACGCTGTTTCCAAAAATGATGCACAGCTAGAATAGGTAATATTGGTGGTTCAGTTGGTAGGATCTCTGACTGGTTGGAGTGGAAACCTGGGATCAAATCCCACTGCCACCAGGGTTAGTGGGGTTAAGGGGAGGGGATGGGTAGCCCCATGAAGATGAAAAAAGAACCTAGAATGGGTAACAGCTATTTTTATAACCCAAAGAATCAAGCATTGGCGATTCATTACTCTGAATACAATGAATACTGTGAATGAAAGAAAAGGTGATAGTTTGTCTTCAGCAGTACTAAAGCTCCATTTATTTAAGGTAAAATTTATCGGACAGAATTTTAAGTACTGAAATATTTGAGTCTTTTTCATATTAATCAATTTTATATACTGAATATTTGGTTTGAAGGAAAAAAGTAGGGAAAAGGTAGGGAAACGGAATCATTCTAGGGACCGGTTCTTGGGTTGAATGGTCTGATCATCTGGTTCAAATGGATGGCCCGTTTTAATTTAAACAAATAAAAAAATAAAAACAGCCAAAAACCGTTGTTTGGGTCAACAGTTTGATGGTTTGACCTCTTGGGTTAACAGTTTGCTGACCAAACCAACGGTTTTTGGCCCAAAAGCAGTTTTGGAGTGAAATTGAACTGGTTCCCGGTTTTTTCCAGTCTGGTTTTGAAAACTATGGTTTGTGTAGCTTTCCCTACTTTTTCCTTCAAAACAAACATGGAAAAAAATCATGTTACTGTGAAAAGAATAAAAAAAGTCCAAAGAAATGCAGTGAAAAGAGCATTGTTTAGATTAAGCAATCAACACCATTCATCTCTCGGGTATGGTTGTGCAGTCGAACAAAGAAAACTTTGAAGGAAATACTAATAATTTTTTTTTTTGTTTTTCAAATACTAATAAATTTAAACTATTAGCTCAGCTATGAATTTTAAAATCCCAAGAAATGCATGGGTTGAAGAAGGCTTAAGAATCGTTGGTTTTTCAATTCCATTTTGAGAGGAAATTGGCTCTAAATTGAGAAAGGTAATAATTATAAATTGTTTATGGCAACTAGGAACCACTAGGCACTATATCATCTTAACAATGAAAAAACGTCTAACCGTTTGTATACGCTTTAAAAAATAAATTTTCCAAAGGATAGGTGTGCATAAAAATTGAAGTTCACTCTTGCCATTCTTGATTCATACCGAAGAGCAAGAGAGGGAAACTGTTGAAATGACGCTTATGTGACACCATTCATCTTAGCAATGCTAAAGTTATTTTTTAAAGTCCTCCCCACGGTTAGGTGTTTTTCTACTGTTATGATGATGTGGTTTCATAAATGATTGTAATTATTATCCTTCTCAATTTTGCAAGCAATTGAATGAAACAAAAACACATACAATAGCTTTTACACAGTACTCGTGTTATACTCGGCAAATCATAAAAAAGATACCACGCCAGCTGTGTAAATATGGATCTCACACCGCACATTCCACATGGCAGGTGGATATGTCATGTCGTGATTGGCCCTGTATCGTCAGGTCCCGTAGAGGATTCTGACACAAAAGTAAAGTAACCCAAGTCATTCTGGACGTAGATTTTGTGGACTGCCCAAGCCACCATGGAATGATATGGAATAGATGCTGACACATATCGTATATAAAGGTTTAGGTACGGGCCTTAGAATCTAAATTATGTAATGTAGGCAAAGAGTCCCATGATGGGACTCCTGTCCAATTGGGTTTGGGTAAACACTTTACAAGAGTCTCTAGAGACCATACGAGAGTTGTCTTATCTTTCACCCACCATCGCGTCTCTTGCTTTTACTAGTCTACAGTATGTATTATATTATTAGTTTATTCATCATCATCATCTCGCTCCCAAAAATCAAATTTTAAGAGATGAGCCACCCATCAACCCAAATTATCCGACTCACACGTTTAATATTACTCTTATTTGATTTGAAAAGATCCGATCCAATACATATATAATACACATATATATTATTTATTTATTTATAAATATATTTTTTATATTATATTTTTATAAAATTGGTATATTATTTATTTTCTATAAAAAACATGTATATATATGATGAAAATAATTAAAAAATATTTGTATTTTTTGTTTTTAATTTATTTAAATTAGTATATTTTATTTTTTTTAATAATTTATTATTTTTTAAAGAAAACAAGTTGTATAGAATATAATTCGAAGATTCGACTTACCGATAAAATTCGAAATCAAATAAAGTCATATTAAATCTGATCGAATCTTCAGATCAGATTGGATATAAACAATATTGGATAGGATTTAAATATACTCTGATTCGAATTGCATCCCAATAATTTACATTCAACATTGAATCTCAATCACCGGCAACAAACAAGGCCAAACAAATCATTCTCTGGCCTAACCCTAACACTCTATAGTCTATTCTATTCTCTACACTCTGCACACAGCAGTTGTGTTTGTTGTCCGTCCCAAGAACACTTCCGTCACTCAATTTTCCACAATGGCAATCTTTGTCATTTTTGAATCGAATAAATAAATGAAGAAATACGGATACACCCAATGCAGAATTTTGAATTTCAATCTCTTTACTACCCGTATAAACCACATTCTATCCGTAAATTTGATATCAAATCACGATCAGGATGCATTTCACCTATAATATGGGACTATAAAATTTTGATCTGGGCTGATTGGTCATTTTCCCATGAAGCGACCCCAGCCGGTGACGGTGAGAGGCGGTCAATAGAAAAAATTAAAAGGAAAAGCAGCTTTCTCTTCCTACTTCGTTAGCGTTACTATTGCAGTTCAAACTTAGACACTTACATTGCTGTCAATAAGGAAATTTTCGTCATTTCAACTCTCCCCCACATCCACAGGCCACAGCTTGGCCTGAAATTCCTGACTGGAAGAAGGGAGAAGAGTCGAGAGCGGAGAGTTCTTTCCTTTCTTTTTTCTTTTCTTTTCTTTATGGTGGGGCCGGGTGGGGCATGAGTGACGGCAAAACGACTTCTGTTCTGTCAAGATGATGAAGCCAGCCTGGCATTGGGGACATGATTGGAGTGGATCCCACGCCCGTCCTGGCGACCACATGCGACTCGAAACCCCATGCACAATTGCTCATACAACACACACAGAGCTTATATTTACACATATATACTTTTTTTTGTTTTTATAGTCTTTATTATTTTTATTATCTATCTTACTGTCCAATCCATCCGTCGAAGTTGAACAATCGCGATTATCTATCACTAATTATAATTAACAAATGCTTAGATAAAACCTACCACCTGCGAATGTGATGAAGCCGTTTTCATGCGTATTTATTGTCGGCGAAAAGGAACGTTTTAAGTAATAATCTACAGAGACGGGAGAGTAATTACTCATAATTATTGCTTTAATTATTCCCTTTGCACCTTCTAATTTTGATTTGCGTCATATATGCATGAAGTTTTGCCTTCTTTTATTTTTTCCTTTTTTTTTTCCCCTCATTATTATTAGCAGAGCATTCAGTATTGGTCCTGTTATCATCCTTTTGTTTCCCTCAATTTTGTAAACCTCTTGCTTCATGTATATACACTGAGACTTGTTTCTTTCTTTCTTTCTTCTTCTTCTTCTTCTTCTTCTTCTTCTCTGAGTTGCAGAACCTGTTGCTATTATTGTTTCCTGTTGCCTTTTCTGGGTTGGTGTGTTCCAGGAGCAGAGGCTCATGAAGAGGCTAGTAAGTACGTTTTTTAGTTTCTTTTCGTAGATCTTTTGTCGTCTGATCACGAAATTTCAAAACTTGGGGTGACTCAGATTTTCGTTTCTTTTTTCATTTATTTTATTGTGGCTAGTGTATAATTTTCTATTGGAGTGACCTTTGAAGATGACAATGAGCTCCAAGGACTTTAAATCTTGCTTTTTTATTGTCTTTTTCTAAATCTACTTGAGATCATGTTTTTGAGTTTTCTTCGTGGATCTTCTGCAATTCAGAATTTATTGTGGTTTTCGTAGCGGTTATTGAGTTCTAAATCATGATATGGGTTGAATGTACTTTTTTCGCTATCTCGGGAATGCTTTTACAAAGTGGGCATTGTAATAATGTATTCTTCAGCTTCCAGTTAGATGGAGTCTCAAGATGAGTGTTCTGGCTTTAATCGTGTTTGTCTGTGTTTTGTTTTTCTCCTCTTTTGTTCTTTGTGACTGTTCACTTGTTTCTCTTTTGTGCTGCTTTGTTTAGGAATCAGAGGTTTTTCAAGGTTTTGTTTTCATGTTCCTACATACTGGTAATCGAAATCTTACTTTTAGTGGTTTGTTTTGTCTGTGGCATTGTTTTCCTATTTCTGCAATAATGAGAATGTATCATCAGTCTCCAAATTTTTAACTTTGGGTTACAGGTGTTGTCATGTCTCGTTCTTCTTAATCCTATTGCTTTCTTTTGTTTTTATTGCTTTTTAATTTTAAGTCACATGTCCTATTTCTGTTGGGATCAAAATTTCTGCTTTACCGAAGTAGGGACTAGGTAGTTGACTTTCCGATTCCAGATATGGTTACCAGGAAGTCTTGGCTTAAATTGTTCCGTTTTATCAAGAAAAGATTGTTCTGGTGCTCAATTTCCTGGGGTTTCTCAATATTCATTCTTTTTTTTTAAAGCCTGACAAGGCCTCATTATTCGTTCTAATTGATTAACTTTCTTCATGTCATCATCTATTGATTCCAATGTAGTCACTCTGGTGAAATTTTCTTATGAGTTTTACTAATTTTTCTGAGCGGACCTCTGCTTCTTGTTATCAGTTTAGTATCTAAAGTTACTGAACATAGAGTTTTATTCAAGGTTCCTATCCTCTAGATTTTTTGTCTGTCATATTCTCTTTCTATGAATTCATTTTTCTGTTTTGTGTTTCTAGAGCTTTGTAGAATTTATGGTTGTTAATCTTTGCTGATTATTGATAAAAAAAAATTTGCTGGTTCATTCTTTTTCCTGGTTGGGCTTTTGTAACATTTGAAGTATTTTTGCACTTTTTTATTTCATTATTTCTTCCACAATTTAGTGACCTACTCTTTTCCGTGGACAATAAATTATCCTTGTCCTCTTTCCTTTTTCTGATCTATTTCTTGTCCTCTTTCTCAGGTGACACTTTTTTTGCTTCTCTTTTTGAGCAATGGCATTGAATTTGATGGAAGTATTGAGGGGCAGTGCAGGTACAAGAGGGCTTTGGACTCCAGGCCTCATAGTGTATCTATATTGGAGTTTGGTGCAGTTGGGGATGGAAAGACACTGAACACAATTGCCTTTCAGAATGCCATCTTTTATCTCAAGTCTTTTGCTGACAAGGGGGGCGCTCAGCTCTATGTTCCTCCGGGTAGATGGCTTACTGGAAGCTTCAGTCTTACCAGCCACCTCACACTATTCTTGGAGAGAGGTGCCCTCGTTCTTGGATCCCAGGTATTTATGCATGTCTTGCTCGGCTTCCTTTACTTTCTTGGCTATTGTCCCCCTTGTTTGGGTTGTCATGAAATTAGATATAAATGTTAGAGGAAATTCCTCATTGTAGAAGATGGAAGAAGTTTTCTGTTTTGGGTGGGTAAACTGAGGTCATGGAAATTCCTCTGTATTTAGAATGTTAAGCAAATTGATTATAAATAATATGTTAGAAGACTGCTTGGAGATGTATCAGATTATCAGGAAAAATAAAAGCCTTGCATTGGATTATAGAATTTTAAAAGGAAATTGGATAGTTTCTTTGGTCCTCTCCAATGTATCACTTTCATTCCAAAGCAGTCTTCTATCTTCATGTTCTTGAATCTTGGTGGCCATGACCCTGTCTTTGAAAAGACCCTTTGGTTTAGAATGCAGAATTTTCCTCACATTTGCAGAATATATTCCATTGATCAGGTACATGTAGTCAAATAGCATATAGCTTCACCATAAAATTAATTCTCCTTTTGTATTTTCTTATCAACTTCCAACAAGCATTAGTCCTGAGCTCTCTATAAATTCCAATGCATCATGGGAACTATGACAAGAGCCAAGAGCAATGTCCTGAATTCTAGATTGAGCACTGTTACCCACTTATCAACTTGTTTACCCACCATTTCTTCGAAGTAAATCTCCTACTCCTTTGCTTTTATATGTTCCTTTTATACCTTGATAATTCATAGAGTTAAATTGTTTATAGGAGAAAAGCTATTCTGCTGGAAAGACATGATAGGGCTATGACCAATTAACCCAACCCACCCTCCTTGAATTTTGATGAATACCACCTGATTGGTGACCACTTTTATGATACTGGTTGATTGGTTATAAATTTTTTTGGTATCATAGACAAACCCTTGTTTATGATCCCAATTGGAAAATCAAACACCTTCCTGGTGCAGCATATTTGTGTGGATTTAAGCAGATACTGAATTTGAGATATCAAAGGTTGCATCTAAGAACCCAGTTGCATTACCTTGCTAAGGAAAAAAATGGATTTCTTGTTAATCTGTCCTTTTTGTGTTCAAACAATCCAAGGTTATGCTATATTCATTTGGTGCAATAAGATGTTTTCATCATATGCAACAAGATGAATAATGGCCCCAGTTAGAAGTAGCGCAGATTGAAGACATTAGGAATTTGTGGGGACCAACTAAGAGGGCTAGTTTCAAGGTAGCATGATAACAGTTAAGGACTTTCAGCCCTATAAAGTCTGAATTGGTATGGCAAGATGCATAGGTTTAGACTTCCCTGATGGTAATTGATGATGGTTACTAGCATTTGCTATTTGCTTCTTATGTACATTTCAGATGACTCTTGTCTTAAAGGGTGGGGGAGGTTGATATCTTTAGATATGATAATAGTATCTTAGGGACTGATTTATTGGGCATTTTCTGATTTATGGCCTTATATTTCTTGTTCTCACAGGATTCATCTCACTGGGATGTTGTTGATCCCTTACCATCATATGGTCGAGGGATTGAACTCCCAGGTGGAAGATATCGAAGCTTGATAACAGGATATAACTTGACAGATGTAGTGATAACAGGCAAATACTTTAAATTCCCAACCCATTGATTCTGGAATTTATTTGTGCATGCTTATTGGCTTCTATTGCATAACATTTTTCTTTTCATAATTAATTAGGAGATAATGGAACAATCGATGGCCAGGGTTCTATTTGGTGGGAGTGGTTCAACTCTCATTCTTTGAACTACAGTCGTCCCCATCTTGTGGAATTTATAGGCTGCAATAATGTTGTAGTATCAAATATTACCTTCTTGAATTCCCCTGCCTGGAGCATCCATCCAGTCTATTGCAGGTATTTAGCAAACGCTTATTATGTGTTCATTATCATGCTATTTCTCAAATTTCTATTACTTATGAAAGAAGATGCTGGACATAAGGAGTATTCTTATTTATTTGGATACCATGCAGCAATGTGCAAGTTCAAAATATAACAGTCCATGCTCCACCAGAATCTCCATATACCAGTGGAATAGTCCCAGGTTTGTGATTATTTATCCACTTTCCCACTTTTTAATCAATTCTGAAAGAGTTTATTGTACCACAATGCTTTTATTTGCATTCTGGAAATGTTATTGTATCAGAATGCTCATGTATATATATTAGAAACTTTGTTTTTCCATGTGGAAAAACAACATAGTCAACTTAGAATATTGATCCAATAGGAAAGCCTGTGGTTTTGCCATGCCCCCATAATGAGATAATGGGGACCACTTGCATGTATGTGTGTGTGTGGGGGGGGGGGGGTCGGTGGGAGTGCATATATATATTGGGACCTCTTGTTTTTGCCATGTAGAAGGACCACATGGTTAACTTTGAATGTTTATCCAATAGGAAAGCATTGAAGCTTAGCCATGTCTGTTGTACCTTTATCCACTTAAATATATAATCCAGAAGCTTCTTGAATGATTGATAGTGAATCTTTTACCCTCTGAAATAATAAATGGGGTGAATGGTCCTGTTTGTGCCACTTAGAAATGACAACTACTCACTATTGTTCTAAAAATTGCCACATAAGGAGATGATGAGGTAGCTAAAGTTTGGAGCCCTTTGAGCCACCATCTCAGCTCTTAGAGCAAGGTGGGGGCATCGAGCACCTTTAGAAATTTTTTAAGTGTAATTTTATCTTTGAACTAGGTCCTCTAGTGTCATTAAAAGTTCGAAAACATTATTGGAGAGCAACATTGTATTGTTATTTTCAATACAATTTTGCAAGGTGTGAGAAGATTGCTAGAAATCAATTTTATTTTCAATACAACTTTGCAACATTTTATTGTTTTTATCTCCTCCAACTTGTATTTTAGTTTACGCAAACACAACTTTGATGGTTCTACAGTACAGTTTCAGAAATTATAAAACCAGACAGGAAAGGCATGGATGGGAATAGTACTCTATCCATTATATTAGTAAATAATTTTAAAATACATCATCTAATCTGGACACCCTGAAAAGATGAATTTATAACAGTACTTTGACGTCACAGTCCCCTCCAAAATAAATAAATAAATATAGATACAGATTATAGAAGGGACTGAGATATCCTCATTCTATACAAATTAACCATGATGTCATTAGAAAAACATGATATCATGACAAACATGTTAATGCTACCTCCCTTTTGTGTAGCCCCTTATTTTCATTCTACCAAACAAGTTATAGCTTCAAACAAGCTACTCTATCCATTATTTTAGTACATAAATTTAAAGTACATTATACATCCAATCTGTTTCTCCTGAGAAGATGAATTGTGAATAGTAGTGTTATGAGGTCACAGTCCCCTCCATGATAATAAAAAAATAAAAAATAAATAAAAATGGATACAGATTGTAGAATGGAATGAAATATTCTCAATCTATACAAGTTAATCATGATATCATGAGAAACATGTTAATGATACCTCCAGTTCTGTATAGCCCCTTATTTCCCATTCAAAAATAGTTGTAGCTTCAAACAAGACAAATACTTTATGAAACATATATAGATTCTATACTCTAATCTATCTTTAGACCTATGTTACTCGGATATGGCTGCATACAAAATATAAAGTAAAAATTGAAGTATCTGACATGAAATGGCACCCTTGTAAGGTATCCAGGTATTATAACCTTAGACCCTTTCTACCAATCTCTTATCCTACATGCATCTTAATTCATCCAACCATTACCATTTCCGAGAGCCCAAACTTCAGCTTTTAAGGATTTGACCTCTGTGTACTTGTCAAAAGAAGATTTGACCTTTCTCTCCAAACCTTTTTTGAACCCCAAATATCCTCAGTGGAGGGGCATCCACAGTGATTTTTATTAATCGTGGAAGGGGGGATGTAAATACCTTACCCCCTCTGAAAAGCTATACAAAGGGATCACCAGCTCATAAAATATACACAAAAGTGTCTAGAGATCCTCTAAAAGATGCACTACCTGACTTTGAGAAAAGGGAGGACCGAGTACATCTTGATGCAAAATCTCTTTAGTAGATGCATGTAAGCCATCACATCAGAAGCATAGAACCCTTGACTCCCAAGGCTATCACAAGCCAGTTTGGCCACATTTGTGTACAAACTGTCAATTTATTATATTTGACAGAAAATCTCTTTTATTAGTTTGTCTTGGAAGTCATGAGCTGCTTGATGAACAAACATAGAGCAACTTTACATAGCTTTTAAGCAAATGCTTTACCTACCACCAATTTTCTTAAATAAAGCTGACCTCATTGAATTTAGATTTAATTGATAACTGCACAAATATTATCAAATCTACCATTTCATGAAATGTGTCCGGATTTTTTTCAAGGGTATTTTTTTGATAGATTTTTTTTCAAGGGTATTATATTATAAGTACTTAAAAATGTATACTAATAATATTCATGTTGCACAAATTGTATTTTCAGATTCTTCTGATAACATATGCATTGAGGACTGCAATATTAATGTTGGTTATGATGCCATAGCATTCAAGAGTGGTTGGGATGAGTACGGCATTGCTTTTGGTAGGCCTACAATGAATGTCCACATCAGGAAGGTCCAACTCCAAGCCTTTTCAGGTTCTGCACTTGCATTTGGCAGTGAGATGTCTGGTGGCATCTCCAACATTCTTGTGGAACACCTCAGCCTAAAGAACTCATTTACTGGTATCAATCTTAAGACTACCAAAGGTAGAGGTGGTTACATAAGAGACATTCTCATGTTGGACTTGGATATGAGAACAGTCCGCAGGGCAATTGGGGCCACAGGTCAATGGGGATCCCATCCAGACGACAATTTCGATCCTAATGCACTCCCCGTTGTTGATCGGATCACCTTGAGGAACTTTGTTGGTACAAATATCACCATTGCTGGAGAACTTTCTGGAATCCAAGAATCACCCTTCACATCTATCTGCCTTTCCAATGTCTCCTTCTCACTTACTTCTGATGACCCTTCCACTTCATGGTCATGTTCGAATGTTTCAGGATTCTCTGATTCAGTATTCCCTGAGCCGTGTCCCAGCCTCCATAACTCATATTTGAATTCTTCATCACCCTGCTTTTCTCTCCTATATTCTAGCAGTCAAATTGCAGCTGTTGTCCTGTGAGATACCTCTTTGTTACTGTTATTGTTTTCATCCCCTGTACAATTGAGAGAGAAGGTAAATGCTTCATACATATCCATCTTGAATTTGTCTAGATTCTTTTTTCAATAAAAAATTGCCAGATCTCAAACCTTCAAGCCTTCAGTTCTCATTTATGCTGTGAGCCTCTTCATGCACGGAAACTCTCAGGAACTGGGCATCAGCCCCAGTTGGCAGCTTATGTACAGTCTTATTTTCATCATCCATGTGTAAGGAAATTTTTGGTAGAATTGATATCATGGTATCCAAGTGAATGTGAGATTGGTAGCAATAGGATTTGCCTTTTTTTTATGTTTTTATCATTTTATCATTATATTGTAAATGTGTAGCAATATGGCTTGCTGGAGGACATTGGTTTTGGACATGGGACGGAGGTGTCTACATGGAGTAATATGATTGGAATAAAGAGCTGTCTGTCATTGAAATTCAAAAGAGAAACAGATGAGTTAAGAGGAGCTTTGTCTTTTTTCTTTTCTTTTCTCTTTTCTATTAAGTAGGGGCAATGGAGGTCGCCAACCTAGGCCACGGGCCTTCCTGATCACCCATTCACCCTGTCCTGCCGTAAGCATGGAGCTTTGGTTTTTCTTGACTCAAAGCTTATAATGTCTTCGTTGGTTGTCCTGCTTTCCTTTAGTAGGTTGATAGGTTCCCAATCGAGTTCATTGTGTGTTTTGTCAGGTTTACAGCTCTTATTTGTACGGTCTTATTATAATATGTTCGCTCTGGAATGATGTGACCAGCTCAAATTGGTTGTAATGTCAGTTTGTAAATGCTGATTGGTGATGTGGCCCCTAGGTAATGGTCGTTCAAAACTGTGAGATTCTTACTCTCCACCTTCCAGAGGTACCATCAAGGCAACCATGTTCGTCCTTCATGTGGTGTGATTGTCTCATGGCTCATGGGGCCATCCATGGAGCTGGCTAGCATTAAAAAAAACCTTCACTTTGACCCTTTACCTCCATTTGATTGCATGCAATTTTATTTGTTCTAATACAAAATCAGAAATGCGTAAGAGTGCAAATGTCAAAAATGTTAATCCTGTTTCACTTTTGCTTTGGATTTTTCTTATAATGCTCCAGGTTTTATTTTACTTAGGCTTATATGTAGAGTGCAAAACCTTGTATTATTTTGTATTATTTACACTGTACATATTTGCATTTGTACTTATTCCTAATTGAGCCTTAGTCTTCAATGCAAATATCCTTTTCCATTATTCGATCATAACAAGAGCCCGATGTTCATTGATTGGGTTGTTGCGATTTATGCATATTTCTGATAAAGGCGAAAAGGATAAGCGGAAGCCCGTCATCTTCACCTTCCTCCCTGTGGTTGTGGTCCTTGGTGGCTTGTCCTTGAATGACTTCTGCTTTGTAGGCCACCTGAGAGGCTGGGGGATTCACATTCTTGGTAGGTACACTAGGACATGAGCTTCAGCCACTGTCGCTTGTTTTGCTTGTTCGGTTGCGGTTAGCCTAGAAGAAAAACCGGTGTTAACCTAATTGATTAGTATGTTTAATATAAATATATGGTATTTGGATTCAATTTTTATGTATGTATGTATGTAAAGTAAATTTTTAGAATCCATAACTTTGCACTCATTTATTAGATTTATTGGGGTGATCTTTATATTAATTTTGGGTAACTTTTTGACATTTATGTGTTCTAAGCAAAGTTCAAAGTATTGACATGTACCAGTTGATACATATCATTTTGGGAGCTCCCCGATATGCCTCTACAGGGGGTGCGTTGGGTTCTGACCGGTTCAGGGGTGAAGGAGCCTTAAACCGGCCCCCTGAACTGCTTTTGAAAAAAAATAAAAAAAAAGTAAAAGAAAAGGTACCGATATGGCCCAATACTCCCCTGCCGGTGTATCGGGCGTATCGATATTTTGAATCTTGGTTCTAAGGACTTTTAGCACATTGTCCTGTTATTTTTTGCAAAAGGAAAAAAAACCTTTTTAGCCTTAAATCCCAATTTTTAGCAATTTTTATAAATAAAAAATTATAAATCAAAATAAAAATATAAATTAAACATAAAAGATATTACATGTAAAATGTAATTTATACTACATTTTTTTTTTAAAACACTAATTTATATTATCTATATTTATAATACATATAGATATAAAAACCAAAATACCAAACTGGCCAACCGATTAACCGAATGATTCGATTCAGTTTTGGTTTTACATTTTCCAGAAACCAAAAGTACAGGTTCAGTTTCAAATATGTGCCCATGCTTCACAGCACTACCTGTTTCCTTTTGTTTACTGTGGCCTCAGATTCTCAGCACTATTGTTGGACCATCCAGGTATTCAAATTCATGTATGGACTATTTTTTAGTGGGTTCGACTATGATATGGAAAAGATATAATATCTGAAAAATTTCTGATCAATCAACTGGAATCATAAATGGGATAGTCAATTAGGTGTTATTTATCAAAATTCATGGGTGGATTTTGATTAATTAAAACTCTTCCCATACCATATCTTTTCTACATCACAACCATGAACCAGTGTGCTTTTATTTGAAGGATTCAATCAATAGAGAAATACCCAACAACTCACCAAAACAACTCCTCGTCCCAATTCATGAAGACTTTCTCCAGGCTCCATCTCTGCTCATCGGGCAAGTAGTTAGTATAGGATGATTAACAGGATTATGCGTGTCAGACATGGATAGACATCGCCTTCAGAGTCTCTAACCTGTTTCCAGTAAAGCCCATTCTATCCATCTGCAGACTCTCTTGAGAGGCACTGGATTTTGAAGAAATCAAGTTTTTCCCACCCACCAATGTAATCACAGTCAAGGTTCAAAGTATCAACTCGTATTGGCTAATACGTATTGTTCCGGGAGCTCTCCGATACACCCCTACAGAAAGTGTATCAGAGTTCTGACCAGTTCAGGGGGTAGAGGAGCCTTAAACTGACCCCTAAACCAATTTTGAAAAAAAAATAAAAAAATGAAAAAAAAGTATCGATACACCCCTACCTGCGTATCAGATATATCAATATTTTGAACCTTGATCACATTATTGCTTGGCTAAGTTTGTCCTAATACTTCTTCTCAACCTTTCATGTGGTGTTCCATCCAAAAAGAAAATTGGTAAGTATCCAAATCATAGGGTTACTTGGCTGGGTTCGTTTGGTTGATGTCCTAACCAACATTCAATCCCTAGTTGTTGGGCTTGCACCCTGCTTTTCTGTTCACCCCAATTTTGTCTAGAAAAAACGTTGAAGCCTTCAAAATCTATTATTATTAAATTCATATACTAGATCATAGCTATCCATTAAGAGACAGAAAAATTATGAAGTTCATAATTTGAGTAGAGAGAGAGAGAGAGAATTTTGGAAATAAATAAAGAAAGTTTGTGAGGCAATCTTGGTTGAAGAAATTATTATAGGTGATATTTAAAGTACTATTAGGCCCAAAGGGAAGCTTTTATTCAAATTATAATGGAATTTGGTCCAATGTGATCTAATTTATATGGGGTGAGCAAGAAAAACCAAAATCGAACTGAAATTTGGTTAATTGAACAAGTTGGTTTGGTCTCAGTTAATCAATATAGAAAACTGGCAGTTAATCGAACTGACCACTATACATATATTTCTATATATTGTATGTATAATATATATATATATATTGTATTATATATTTATATATTTTTTATAATATATTTTATAAATATAAAAAATAAATAAAAACAACGGTTAATTGATCCGATCAACTGATTAACCGATGGGCTTTGGTTCAATTTCGATTACTAATTTTCCAAAAATAGGTAATACAGGTTTGATTTCAAAAATAGGCCCACGATTCGATTAACCAAACTGTGAGCACCCCTAACCTTATGCAAGTGGTACGGGGTTCATGAGATGAGACGTCTCCATGGAATGCGGCATAGAGAATTGCATAAGGTTGTTGTTGCTATGTCGTCCTTTGGTAGGGATTATGTCAATCAATTGCCTTTTTTTTCTTCTTCCCCCCTTTTTGTTGTCTATCTTAAACCACATATGACTAATGTTGTGTCATTCGTTGGGGTTGAGTTTGGTTGGATCAGTCCAAATTACACTCCTCCCTTCGTGTTTTTGAGGATGCAACCATAGGTTCAGTTTGTAGTTTCTATTAAGGCTATGCTTGGTTTAAAGGAAAAGGTAGGGAAAGGAAGGGAAAGACGGGGGGACCTATACAAGGTTTGTAAAAGTTTTCCTACCTTTTCCTTCCTTTCCCTGCATTTTCCTTCAAACCAAGCATAGCCTAAGGGTAAAATACTTAAGACTACCCCAATAGACTAAAACTTACCCTACTATTTTAAAAAATTACTTAAAGTATTTTAAGTTTTCTGACAATTGACAAAATCCTCCCCTACGGTTACAATCCCATTGCATGTGATGTCACATGGCTAATATAATTTTTCTTAATTTCAAAATTACTCTTTTATAGTTGATTTTGCCCTTTATTGTTTTTCAAATTTTCAAAATGAAAAACAATGGAAATTCCTCTTATTTTTTATCTACCTTTCGAAGCAAAATTAGTCAGAAGAAAGGGCCATTGAAAGGAAAGAGTGATACAAAGGTTGGAATTTTTTTTTTCAACCAGGAGTTGTGTAGTGATATGAGAGAAGTTAAATTAGGGTATCATAAGAACATGGAAATAATTACAGAGAAGAAGACCATAATAAAGGCTAAAGTTGGTGGGCCCAGAGACTGCATCACCAAAGATCAAACCAAAGTATAGTGTTTATTTGCTTTTAGATTGAGAATGATGATCAACTTTTCTCCTATGCGTGCAAGGTGTGTATATTGCATATCCTTGGAACCCTAAGTCCCTAAATTTTTTAGTGTATCCACTCTGGGTCTCAACAACTACATTCTAGAAAAATTGTTTTTAAAATAGGGTTAACTACTTAAACTATCCCTATGGTTTAGCAAATAGACAAGAAGTTACCCTATGGTTTGCATAATCACTTAAAGTATCTAGTATTTCTGACAATGGACAAAGTTATCCCTTATTCATGTTGCCATTAATATCCACTATCATGTGATGCCACGTGACATTTTATTTTTTTTCAAAATTCCTAAACTACCCTTTTATGATCGAAAAAAATACCCTTTGGCATTTGGTGATAGTAAGGGCTTTGAAATGGTAAGATATTGGAATTGGGTTCTCTGGAATCTTTATTTCTTTAACTAATTTAGAGATTGAATGAACACAATTTTACTAGATTTCTTCAATTGATTGCAAAGGCTTCTCTTTCTCTGTTTCATAGCAATAGCCTCTCTTTCAGTGATGTATGAGTCTATTAGAGCAATAATCTTCAATTGGGTTTTATATATTTTTCCAGCAGGCACTATTGAAAGGATGTTCCTGTGTATGGCTTGTGGGTTCCCCTAAAGGATTAAAAAGGAAGTGTATAATAGAGAAGCACAGGTTTTGTGAACAAAGGAGATTAGCAGT